CCCGAGCTCCATCAGTAAACAGGCGTCACAGTGCCTCAACCAGAAACACGAATACCCGAGCTCCATCAGTAAACAGGCGTCACAGTGCCTCACCCGGAAACACGAGTACCCGAGCTCCAACTATAAATAGAGTACCTGTACCCCTTCAAGGAAATAGGTTTGCCCCTGCTCTTATTTTGGTCATGGTCTACATTGTATCGGGTGTGGTGTGGGATGCCATTCAGTTGGTTATGGTCTACATTGTATCGGGTGTGGAGCGGGATGCCATTCAGTTCGTGATGGTCTACATTGTATCGGGTGTGGAGCGGGATGCCATTCAGTTGGTTATGGTCTACACTGTATCGGGTGTGGATCGGGATGCCATTCAGTTGGTTATGTACACACTGTATCGGATGTCGATGCCATTCAGTTGGTCATGGTCTACATTGTATCCAGGTGTTGAATGGGATGCCATTCAGTTGGTTATGGTCTACATTGTATCGGGTGTGGTGGGATGCCATTCAGTTGGTTATGGTCTACATTGTATCGGGTGTGGAGCGGGATGCCATTCAGTTGGTTATGGTCTACATTGTATCGGGTGTGGAGTGGGATGCCATTCAGTTGGTTATGGTCTACACTGTATCGGGTGTGGGTGGGATGCCATTCAGTTGGTTATGGTCTACACTGTATCGGGTGTGGAGTGGGATGCCACGGGATGCCATTCAGTTGGTTATGGTCTACACTGTATCGGGTGTCGAGTGGGATGCCATTCAGTTGGTTATGGTCTACATTGTATCGGGTGTGGAGCGGGATGCCATTCAGTTGGTTGTGGTCTACATTGTATCGGGTGTGGAGCGGGATGCCATTCAGTTGGTTATGGTCTACATTGTATCGGATGTCAAAGTGGGATGCCATTCAGTTGGTTATGGTCTAAATTGTATCGGGTGTCAAGTGGGATGCCATTCAGTTGGTTATGGTCTACACTGTATCCGGGTGTCGAGTGGGATGCCATTCAGTTGGTTGTGGTCTACATTGTATTGGATGTCAAAGTGGGATGCCATTCAGTTGGTTATGGTCTACACTGTATCGGATGTCAAGTGGGATGCCATTCAGTTGGTCATGGTCTACATTGTATCGGGTGTGGTGTGGGATGCCATTCAGTTGGTTATGGTCTACATTGTATCGGGTGTGGAGCGGGATGCCATTCAGTTCGTTATGGTCTACATTGTATCGGGTGTGGAGCGGGATGCCATTCAGTTGGTTATGGTCTACATTGTATCGGGTGTGGAGCGGGATGCCATTCAGTTGGTTATGGTCTACATTGTATCGGGTGTGGAGCGGGATGCCATTCAGTTGGTTATGGTCTACATTGTATCGGGTGTGGAGCGGGATGCCATTCAGTTGGTTATGGTCTACATTGTATCGGGTGTGGAGCGGGATGCCATTCAGTTGGTTATGGTCTACATTGTATCGGGTGTGGAGTGGGATGCCATTCAGTTGGTTATGGTCTACATTGTATCGGGTGTGGAATGCGTTGCCATTCAGTTGGTTATGGTCTAAATTTCCTCGTAGTACAGCTAATTTACGAGCAGATGTCTTAGTGCATTTGTAACATAATTATCACAACCTGCCGAGCAGCGTAGGATTCCAAGCTCGGATAAAATATCTGTCCCGTCCAGGAGAGCCCGGGCATTTGTCACCGTCTCCACGTCATTATGATCACATGTCGCTGTAACATCCCGCATACCCGGGTTCGTTTACATCCACCCCGACTACAACAATATCGGGTTGTTTTCGAAGCGTCATCTGGCTTCAAGCGGTACACCTTGTTTTTTCACGAGAGTCCACATTCACACCCACAGTGTGCTTGAAGTCACACCATAACTTGATTATCTAAATCACAAAAATAAACAAATCGACAAAAGCATGCATATTTTGCTTCGTAGGACAAAACACCTGGCATGACTTGCACTGTGGAATCGTGCCATACGAAGGGTGCTGAATAGAGGTGAGGTTGAAACAAGGACGACGACGAGGGATAAAGCAAGGGGGCACTTGGGGGTGAAGTGATGGGGGAGTTGGGGTGAAGTGAGGGGACTTCAGCTGAAGCAACGGGAGGAGTAGGGGTGAAACGAGGGGTGAAACGAGGGGTGAAGCGAGGGAGATTGGAGGTGAAATTGTGGCGGAGTGTGGGGTGAAGCAAATGGGGTTTAGGAGTGAAACAATGGATGACTGTGGATGAAGCGAGGGAAGCTGAGGGTGAAGCGAATGGGACTGAGAGTGAAGCGAGGGACCCGAGGGTGAAACAAGGGGACCTGAGGGTGAAGCGATGGGAACCTTAGGGTGACGCCAGGGGAACTAAGGGTGAAACGAGTGAAGACTAGGGTGAAGCAATGGGGGCTGAGGGTGAAGCGAGGGGGTTGTGGGGAAGCTACGAGGGGCGGGGGGTACGGCTCGCATGGTGATGGCAGCCAGAGATGTTTAAAGAAAACCAGAGTACAAATAAACCTTTGGAGGTCACGCCAGTGCAGGCTTGTCTCACTTTACACAATATCATGATGCGACTACAGAATACTTGTGGGGTGTCCTGAAGTCCCCGGGGAGCCAAGGTCCAGGGCGTGAGGGGGGGGGGAGGGAACCCTAAATATCTGGGCTTATAAACTTGTATGTAAAGTACTATTGCAAATATGTTAAGTTAACATTTTCTTTATGTTCAAGATTGAGTGACCTTGCAAATTTACCATAACAGCAAATACCCAGACAGTTGTTTCGTTACAACGTGTGATAACATATCCTCTGACACTGAATAACTGGGTTAGTGAGTATGGTGTGCTTGGTTCAGTCCTATCCCATCCCCGTCACCAAGGGAGCATAAAGAACATGATCCTACATTGCTAACATATGGGGAATCGAACCCGGTCTTCTAGGAGCCAAGTGAAGGCGTTATCGGATACGCTGTTCCAGTCTGTATATGTCCAGTCAGATTATGTCTTCTAGGAGACTAGTGAAGGCGTTATCGGATACGCTGTTCCAGTCTGTATATGTCCAGTCAGATTATGTGCAAGATGTATTTTTTCACGTCATCGGTCTTTGGAGACAGATTTTGGCCTCTTTCTCAATTCACTGAAGAACAGGGATTTGAAAATCTGGTGGAACTCTTCACCACTTAAACAGGTGTCACCATACATGTTCTGTGTTCTCGAGGGGGACGTAGGGGAGCCTGGAGAGTTCGATTCCGTTTTGGTACTAAAACCATTTAACCACTTCGTCGTCTGGATATTGACCAGTCTTTGAACAGTTAAGAGTGTATCCAAGGCAAAAACATAAAATATTAACACATAACCTACGATTCATTATTCTATAGAAAGAAAGAGAATACTACATGATATTTGTGTAAGCATAGCACACAAAAGCATCTAAACGTGTCTAAAGAGATTAGCTGTACAGTCAGTGATCTATAGTGTGTGTGTGAGTGAGTGAGCACGTGTCTAAGAGATTAGCTGTACAGTCAGTGATCTATAGTGTGTGTGTGAGAGTGGGTGAGCACGTGTCTAAGAGATTAGCTGTACAGTCAGTGATCTATGGTGTGTGTGTGAGTGAGCACGTGTCTAAGAGATTAGCTGTACAGTCAGTGATCTATAGTGTGTGTGAGTGGGTGAGCACGTGTCTAAGAGATTAGCTGTACAGTCAGTGATCTATAGTGTGTGTGTGAGTGGGTGAGCACGTGCCTAAGAGATTAGCTGTACAGTCAGTGATCTATAGTGTGTGTGTGAGTGGGTGAGCACGTGTCTAAGAGATTAGCTGTACAGTCAGTGATCTATAGTGTGTGTGAGTGGGTGAGCATGTTTTAACGCATCATTTAGCAAATTCCCAGCAAACACCACAACAAGGGTCACCAGAAATAGGCTTCACTCAGTGTACCTGTATGGGGAGTCGAACCCGGGCTTTCGTCGTGACAAGCGCTGTAACCAAGTGATGCACGCATACAAGCTTCTCCTCCACTGGAGGAAGCTGGATCGTGATGCTGGGAAGCACATCTTTGTGCTGTGTCCCCTCCGACAGTCTTGGTTACTTATCGTGTGAACCTTCACGTGGGCAGCACACGTTGACGTCAACCTCAACGTCATCCCCATCGACAGCACGTAACGAGTCACGCCGCGTGTTATCAGCAAACAAGTCCATTTGTACATTAGAAAACTCCGATATTTACAAAACTATTCAAATACAACTACACTGGAAAACACTTCGTGTTTGCAAACTGTTAACACTACAGGTGAAAATCTGAAAATACCTTAATCTCACCCTATGAACATATACCAACCAACGTGCAAGTTTTGTTTTCTTGACGGAAATACTTAGGAAGTCACTACGTACAGCTACAGTGAACGCGTAAATTCCTCGCTCCAATTAGCGTTAGGAACGTCTGTATAAGTTGCATGACCACTAAACGACTCGGATTCCATAATGGTCAGTCGGATAACGCTTTCATAACCTTTTCATAACCGTTTTCTGAACTGATGATCGCCATAATCAATTCGAACATCATTTACTCCCTGTTGCAGGGCGTACACTGGTTAATATGTCAGCAATTGTCTTTCCACGGATCTTCAGTGAGTGGTTGGTTGGTTTGTTGCCGCACTCAGCAATTGTCCAGCTATATGGCGGCGGTTTGTACATAATCGAGTCTGGGACTAGACAATCTAGTGATCAACATCATGAGCATCGATCTACGCAATAGGGATACGATGACATGTATCAACCACGTCAGCGAGTCTGACCACCCGATCCCGTTAATCGCCTTTTACGACAAACACAGGTTGCTGAAGATCTCAATTCAAACCCGGATCTTCACGGGTATTCACTGAGTGAGTGAGTGAGTGAGTGAGTATAGTTTTACGCTGGTCAACGGGAGTGTGCTTAACAACTTGTACCCATTTTGGGATATCTATGAGCAACAGGATGCAAACATTCGGATTAACAGAAAAGCAGTGGATAGTGTTGATTCTCACAAAACACCTCACAACATTTAGACAGTGTATTACATAACAGAGACCTTGGTCCGGGCGTTTCATTATATAGTTCGTGTCCAGAATTTGACAGATTTACCCAGATTGTGCGTCTCGGACGTGAATCCACCGCTGAGCTCATCAAGTGCACATCTCTTTGACAACAGCCCTGACGTGAAGCGTCGACACGTGGACGTTTACACAACATCTGTTCTGGGCGGCCATTGCCTGAAGGACAACATTTCTCATACAGATTAGAGTTTGGTTTCACTATGATCACTGATCAGCCCTCCGTGAGTTTGGGGCTGACAGTTTGCTGCAGTTCTGTCTCTAAGCTGTCACATCCGCATGGCGAATTTTCAAGCGCCCCCTATGACCGAAAGGGGCCAAAGGGAGAGAATGCACGTTATTTCAGAGAATGAAACTAGCGTCCGCGTTTGTTAAATCATGCCTTGATAAATGTTACGTTTCTATATCATCTTGTTTGCAGAAATCAGAAACAAACCGGTGTTACGGAAACACTGTATTTGGGGAACTTCAGACAAAAATGTTTGTATATTTTTTGTAATTTGAATATTTGACTTGGAAAATCGCTGACTTGCTTGCCTTGAGTAAACTTGTTACAAAATATCTCTAATCGCTTTAAATGTTTACGATTTGAAAATACAATCATGACAAATTACAAATCGTTATTCCTTGGAATATCTTGTTTAGAAGTATAACCCATATATATCTATGTCGAGACCATTTATCCAAATACAGCATTAAATGCACCTATGAACATATCTTGCCGCAACACACAACAGTGGCAACACACAACAGTGGCAACACACAACAGTGGCAACACGGCATCTTCTCAAGGTAAGCTTTATTCATTTATCGAAAACGTTTCATCCCCAGTACGACTGATAGGGCTTCCAATTAGCTCAAGTTTATTTGAACTGTATCCTTATTGCGTAGATCGATGCTCATGCTGTTGATCACTGGATTGTCTAGTCCAGATTCGACTTTTACATGAGTGAGTGAGTTGAATTTTACGCCGCTTTTAACAATATTCCAACAATATCACGGCGGGGGACACCAGAAATGGGCTTCACATATTGTACCCATGTGGGGAATCGAACCTGGGTCTTCGGCGTGACGAGCGAACGCTTTAACCACTAATCTACCCCACCGCCCCGACTTTTTACAGACTGCCACCATATTGCTGAGTGCGGCGTTATCCAACAAACAAATTATATTGATTTGAACCAATGTGTTTCAACAATTATTTTCAGGGAATGTGAACAAGAATTAATAACATTATTGCTTGAGTATAAAATGTGGGAGTTCCGTTATTAAAGTAACTTTGAAATACACAATGCTATTAAGAAAGTGGCACTTTCTATATGGCATTGTGTATTTCAAAGCTTTCGGCCGTGGGAGCCGTGCCAATTGACACTTATCAGAGGGGTACACAAAGTCCGCAGTCTAGACTACCAGTTGTCCGACTTCCATATTTGTGGAAGTAGCGATGGCTGAGCGGTCTAGGCGTCTGACTTTGTGTACTGGCGAGTAGGTGCCTGACCCTGAGGGTGTGGGTTCGAATCCCGGATGGGACTCAACCCAACAAAAATCTGTACTTTACTAAGAAAGTGTAATCCCAAATATAATATATGATAAAGTAACTTGATTACGCAGAACAGTTTACTGTTTTCAGTGCATGCAGGATTCATGCTCTGTTTGTGCACAATCTTTCCCCCTTCGCTTAAGTGCTCGAGATGCCCGATCTGTGTGGGGTGTGTCGTTTCCAGGAAGGATGAAACATGTCTAACACCTGTACAATGCTTTTGAACAGATAAGATGCATATTACAAAGGACGTCATACCAACGCTGTCTTGACCTGATCAGGAGATTCGTCCGTCAACATGTCTCTTGAAGTACACTACATTACAGGTCACGACGACCACAAAGCTAGATTGGTTTATCCGTCGGGCGTTTACACCTCTTGCATGAAGTTTGTTTGTCTGTTTACCGCTATTTCTCACCTCAGCGCAATATAGCAGACGTGCGCGAAAATCAACACCCAAGGCCTTTGATGTGCCCGCCCTCGCCGCGCTTTCATCAACAGATAGCGCACCTGCAGTGACCGCTTGTTCCCAGGTGGGTCTGACACTTCGGAAAGATAAACATCGCTGACAGATCCACGCAGTTCCCGTGCAGCTGCAGCAACGAGCTTGTCCTCGTGAGGTCGAACGTCGGGTGCGACCGAGACCATGCGACAAATACGGCAGTGACGTCATGCAGGCTCTGCACTGTGGACATTTCAGGAAATACACAAGAATGCCCATAGGTGTAATATATTTAAATTCGGTTGTATTCAGTATGTTTGTGTTGATGAGGAATCGTGTAATGAGTGGTGTTTTCGTCTTTATCTTGGCAAGAATGTGTTTAAGAATGTATATTCGGCTAAGGCATCTTGAAAGACTATGTACAATGTTCGTTGTTTAACCCCGCACTCAGCAATATTCCAACTATATGGCGGCGGTCCGTAAATAATCGAGTCTGCACCGTCCAGTGATCAACAGCATGAGCATCGATCTCCGCAATTAGGTTACGATGGCATGTGTCAACCAAGTCAGCGAGCCTGATCAATATTACGACAAGCATAGGGTAGCTGACCCGGATCTATACGGGCCGTCGTGATACATCGGGGCCTTGTCCCCGGAAATGGTTTCCCGGATGATGCCGAGCTGTTCGCCAGAGCAGTAGGCAGAAGCCACAGTGCAGGACGCCCGATGCCGCAGTTCAGTACGTCAGATGCCACAGTTCAGTACGTCAGATGCCACAGTGCTGTACGTCAGATGCCACAGTATAGTACGTCAGATGCCACAGTGCAGTACGTCAGATGCCACAGTATAGATCGTCAGATGCCACAGCGTAGTACGTCAGATGCCACGGCGTAGTACGTCAGATGTCACAGTGTAGTACGTCATATGCCACAGTGTAGTGCGTCAGATGCCACAGCGTAGTACGTCAGATGCCACAGTGTAGTACGCCAGATGCCACAGTATAGTGGGTCAGTTGCATCTGTGTAGTGGGTCAGTTGCAAAAGTGTAGTACGTCAGATGCCACAGTGTAGTGCGTCAGATGCTCACAGTGTAGTACGTCAGATGCCACAGTGTAGTGCGTCAGTACGTCAGATCAGCCACAGTGTAGTGCGTCAGATGCCACAGTAGTACGTCAGATGCCACAGTGCAGTACGTCAGATGCCACAGTATAGTGCGTCAGTACAGCCCGTCAGATGCTACAGTGTAGTACGTCAGATGCCACAGTGTAGCCCGTCAGATGCCACAGCGTGTAGTGTAGTACGTCAGATGCCACAGTGTAGTACGTCAGATGCCACAGCGTAGTGCGTCAGATGCCACAGTGTAGTACATACGTCAGATGCCACAGTGTAGTACGTCACAGTGTAGTACGTCAGATGCCACAGTAGTACGTCAGATGCCACAGTGTAGTACATACGTCAGATGCCACAGTGTAGTACGTCAGATGTCACAGTGTAGTACGTCAGATGCCACGTCAGTGCCACAGTGTAGTACGTCAGATGCCACAGTGTAGTACGTCAGATGCCACAGTATAGTACGTCAGATGCCACAGTGTAGTACGTCAGATGCCACAGTATAGTGCGTCAGATGCCACAGTGTAGTACGTCAGATGCCACAGTGTAGTACGTCAGATGCCACAGTGTAGTACGTCAGATGCCACAGTGTAGTGCGTCAGATGCCACAGTGTAGTACGTCAGATGCCACAGTGTAGTACGTCAGATGCCACAGTGTAGTGGGTCAGATGCCTCAGTGTAGTGGGTCAGATGCCACAGTGTAGTACGTCAGATGCCACAGTGTAGTACGTCAGATGCCACAGTGTAGTACGTCAGATGCCACAGTGTAGTACGTCAGATGCCACAGTGTAGTGCGTCATATGCCACAGCGTAGTACGTCAGATGCCACAGTGTAGTACGTCAGATGCCACAGTGTAGTACGTCAGATGCCACAGTGTAGTACGTCAGATGCCACAGTGTAGTACGTCATATGCCACAGTATAGTGGGTCAGTTGCCTCAGTGCAGTACGTCAGATGCCACAGTTCAGTACGTCAGATGCCACAGTGTAGTACGTCAGATGCCACAGTGTAGTACGTCAGATGCCACAGTGTAGTACGTCAGATGCCACAGTGTAGTACGTCAGATGCCACAGTGTAGTACGTCAGATGCCACAGTGTAGTACGTCAGATGCCACAGTGTAGTACGTCAGATGCCTCAGTACGTCATATGTACGTCAGATGCCTCAGTGTAGTACGTCATATGCCACAGTATAGTGGGTCAGTTGCCTCAGTGTAGTACGTCAGATGCTACAGCGTAGTACGTCATATGCCACAGTATAGTGGGTCAGTTGCCACAGTGTAGTACGTCATATGCCGCAGTGTAGTACGTCATATGCCAGTGTAGTACGTCAGATGCCACAGTATAGTGGGTCAGTTGCCAAAGTGTAATACGTCAGATGCCACAGTAAAGTGGGTCAGTTGCCTCAGTGTAGTACGTCAGATGCCACAGTGCAGTACGTCATATGCCACAGTGCAGTACGTCAGATGCCACAGTGTAGTACGTCAGATGCCACAGCGTAGTACGTCAGATGCCACAGTGCAGTACGTCAGATGCCACAGTGCAGTACGTCAGATGCCACAGTGCAGTACGTCATATGCCACAGTGCAGTACGTCAGATGCCACAGTGCAGTACGTCATATGCCACCCTCAGTGCGTAGATACGTCAGATGCCACAGTCTAGTACGTCAGATGCCACAGCGTAGTACGTCATATGTCACAGTATAGTGGGTCAGTTGCCTCAGTGTAGTACGTCATATGCCACAGTGTAGTACGTCAGATGCCACAGTGTAGTACGTCAGATGCCAGTGTAGTACGTCAGATGCCACAGTATAGTGGGTCAGTTGCCTCAGTGTAGTACGTCAGATGCCACAGTGGAGTACGTCATATGCCACGGGGTAGTACGTCAGATGCCACAGCGTAGTCCTTCAGATGCCACAGCGTAGTACGTCAGATGCCACAATGCAGTACGTCAGATGTCACAGTGCAGTACGTCAGATGCCACAGTGCAGTACGTCATATGCCACAGTGCAGTACGTCAGATGCCACAGTGCAGTACGTCAGATGCCACAGCGCAGTACGTCAGATGCCACAGCGTAGTACGTCACATGTCACAGTGCAGTACGTCAGATGCCACAGTGCAGTACGTCAGATGCCACAGCATAGTGCGTCAGATGCCACAGTGCAGGACGTCAGATGCCACAGTGCAGTACGTCAGATGCCACAGTGCGGTACGTCAGATGCCACAGTGTAGTACGTCAGATGCCACAGTGTAGTACGTCAGATGCAACAGCGTAGTACGTCACATGTCACAGTGTAGTACGTCAGATGCCACAGCGTAGTACGTCACATGTCACAGTGTAGTACGTCAGATGCAACAGCGCAGTACGTCAGATGCCACAGTGTAGTACGTCAGATGCAACAGTGCAGTAGGTCGGATCCGACGTTGAAATCGCCACTTGTCACTTGCAAAGTGTAACAATATAAAAGTTAGCATTACCAGTTTATGAACACCTATCGGCAAGCATTCTGTGTAAACCTGTTGCACAGTACACTGACAAGAAATTAAATGGTTATCTGCTAATGATATGATAATCACTGATAACAGTGAGTCCCTAAATAAACCGTCCTTGCTACAATGTACACAGCGCAACATCTTATGGTTGTTTGACGAATACTTCACGCTTTTCGTCGTAAAAGACTCTAACTCTCACCGTCTAGAATGTACGTCAGAATATCAAGGAACTATGTCAGAACAAATATCATGGGAGACAAAAAGAAGATGGATCGAGTTGTGCCATTACATCGAGACAAGAAATATGGTTTACAAGGGAGACCAAGGCGGTCTGGGTCTCCTACTGGTCAGACAAAGTGTGTGAATTTCTTACAAATAAATAGTTGGACAGTCCTACACGAGTTATTGATTTTAACTCGTGTACAAACTTGGATTCACTTTTTCAATTGTTCAACATTGTATTTAGTGTATGAGTGTTAAAATGTATAGGAACAAGAATTCCGGTCAAAACATTGTTCAAGAAAGATTTAATCCTGGCTCGAAAGTTGCCAACACCTGAAACTTGAAACAAGACTATTGTTGTGCTCAGGTGGGTTGTTTACGGTGAATGTTTCAAATCAATTTTAAATTATTTCAGTGTAATGATATTTATATATTGAATACAACTGAATCTAGTTTCAATATGACTATGTCTTATGGGATTGGAAGGCGACATTTGTTCATATTTTCAACAGTAGTAAGATAAGTAAGATGTGAGGATGATTAATGGGACGGTAATTTGGTTCTCTCTGTGAAATAAACGTATAAGCTGGACATTAATTGCTTCGACCGAAATTCAAAACGTGGGTCCCATAAGTCAATACCCATGTTACAGAAATATAATATAATTTCGTGAAATAGGGTTTGTGTAAGCTTCAGTGCGAAAATGATGTAATACTAAAGTTTTCTGCCGTGTGTACGACCACAGCTTTGATGTGAGCTAGCCTCATACCTCACTATATGTTTATCATAGCTTTGATGTGAGCTTGCCTCATACCTCACTATATGTTTATCATAGCTTTGATGTGAGCTTGCCTCATACCTCACTATATGTTTATCATAGCTTTGATGTGAGCTTGCCTCATACCTCACTATATGTTTATCATAGCTTTGATGTGAGCTTGCCTCATACCTCACTATATGTTTATCATAGCTTTGATGTGAGCTTGCCTCATACCTCACTATATGTTTATCATAGCTTTGATGTGAGCTGAGCTTGCCTCATACCTCACTATATGTTTATCATAGCTTTGATGTGAGCTTGCCTCATACCTCACTATATGTTTATCATGTAGCTGATGTGAGCTTCACTATATGTTTATCATAGCCTCCTCATACCTCACTATATGTTTATCATAGCTTTGATGTGAGCTAGCCTCATACCTCACTATATGTTTATCA